TCTCTCTCTCTCTCTCTCTCTCTCTCTCTCTCTCTCTCTCTCTCTCTTCTTCTTCGTCGTGGTCTTCTTGCAGGTGCGCGGCGGCTTCCTCAACCTCAGGTCTGCTATGGCGGGCTGTTACCTTCGGCGGCCACCTCGGCTATGGCGCATCAGGTCCTGCATACGACGACGCGCATGGAATAGCGGGTACCAGCTCCGATACCAATGCAATCAGACTCGTCTCATTCACACTTTTCATGTATGTAAACAGCAGCGCAGCAAACTGGCGACATGCGCCCACACAAACTCAGAGATATGGCTTCCAGGTACGAGTTCACTTTCAACTGGCTATGGCGACTCAGACTCAACGCCCAAACAACTCACTGTTCACATACCGGATCACCCTGGATATCCCACACGCTTCACTCTGAACACTCACACATACACACTCACACTTCACACTAACTACAGCTATGGCAGCTATGGCTGCCCCTCTACCCTATCGCTACACTAAGCTCCTTCTCTCTCGCCCACTGCGTCCTTCGGGCTCACTGCAGACCTCCTTGCACAAGTCACTGTGGGAGCGCTTCCGCATGGCTCACGCAGGAATCACTCAATGGCTGGGCGCTGCCACTTGATTTATACTTCTGCAGGTCGTTGGTTTGGCCCATTTCCCTTGCTCGAAGTGCACACAGTCCCGTGCGGTACTTGCTGGACTGACTGGGGACTGGGACTGTTGACTCAGCAGGGTAGACTTCCCCCACTTGCCCACTTGCCTCACCACTTGACCACTTGCCTCTGCTCAAACGTGGGCAACTCACGAAAGGCCACTACTGGGACCTTCCGGAAGGCCGTAGACTTGGCCTTTCGTGACTGTAGCAGCTACGACTCTGACCCTTCTGGACTGTAGCAGCTACAACCTTGACCTTTCGAGAACACTACAGCTACGATGTCTAGACCTGACTAAGACTCATATCCGACAGGTCTACAGATCGAACCCATGCTACCTATGGACCCTACGACAACCTATCAGCTATTACAAATACACAGGTCGCGGGTTCAACTCTACGGGTCGACACAGGTGCTGTACACAGGTAAGGTTGGGGTCTAGGGATCGAACCCTGGGATCTGCAGCAGTTACTGCTAACTGGTGAATACCGTTTCACAGCCGCCCAGCGCTACAAATAGCTGGGCCACGGCTGGGCAGGGGACAGTTCGAGTAGCTCACTTCTGGGCGACATGCTGCTGGTTAGGAGAGCGCTATACTGCACTAGGCTGCAGAGTAGAGAGGAGAGGCATAGAGGAGATAGGGAGTGGCGGAGGCCATACCTGCAGTCGGCGAGATTACCTGGCGCCATAGCTGGGCTCCACGCGGTACCTGCACACAGCGACGGACACAGTCAGTACGGTGGCAGCGACCTGCATGTGAGATAGCGAGGAGGACTTCATCTCTTCTCTCCCTCCTCTCTCTCTCTCTCTCTCTCTCTCTCTCTCTCTCTCTCTCTCTCCTCCTCTTTCTCATCTTCTTCTTCGAATATGAGAGTGTGAGAGGTTGTCAGTAGGGATTCAGGCACAGGTATCAATATTTCACCATTTTAGGGTGCCAGGGCGCTGTCCATCCCTATTATCATCATCATTAGTGCATCATCACAGGGCGCGTTATTAGCAATCTCATCATCCTCATCGTGGTCACCAGTCATCATCGTCATCATTATCATCATCATCATCATCTACCTTCATAGTGATGTCTACCATCTGAAGTTGATTCTTGTCAGCAGTGTTCATCATCATCATCATCATCAGCATCAGAATCATCATCATCATCATCATTACCATCATCATTATCATCATCATTGACATCATCATCATCATCATCATCATCATCAGCAGCAGCAGCAGCAGCAGTAGCACCATTAATCTGCAATCATAGGGTGTTGTTGGTAGCAACATCATTCTGTCAGTACTATCATCATCATCATTTCGTCATCATTAGGTGTTTGCCTCTCATATCAGTACTATCATCATCATCATTCCGTCATCATTAGGTGTTTGCCTCTCACATCAGTAGGTGAGTTTGGGTCGTTATCATCATAAAAAAAAACTCGCATCTACCTTTCTCTCCAGCATAATTTTTAGAAATTTCCAGTTCTACCACACATTTTAGGGATCCGATCTGATGGATGTGCTTCAGGCGGGATAGGGCTTCTGTGGTCACGGTTGGGACTCTTGGGGGAAGAGTGGGGGTGGTATAGGGGAGCCCTACTCTACAGGGGCACCGCAAGGCGGGAGGCGGTCGCCCTGTCGGGGGTGGGGCAGAGTTTGGGGTTTTGTCCTTGTCTGGGGCCGGGGTGGGAGAGTTGGTCGCCTTCAACCCCGGCGAGGGCAGATAGGGACAAGGGGTGGGCGAAGGTATCCTCTAGGAGGGAATTGGCTGCCTTCGCGGAAGGGGGGGAGGAGGGGGTTTGTTCCATGTTGGGGCCGAGGAGATCTCCTCGGCGGTGGCAGCATGGGACAAGGGGCAGGGGGAATTTTCTCCATGCGGTGACTTTTGGAAGCTTCATCAATCGGATTTCTTCTGTTATGCCCCGTAGTTTGAAGAATGTCTCAGGTCTCTGAGGGTTTGCCGGAGGGCTGTACGGAGCTGAACTGGATTTAGGCTGTAATATTCAAAATTTGTGGTTGTCCAATGCCAGAACGACGCTGGCCGGAGCCGGGGTGATGCCCTGTAACTTGCCGAAGGTGAGGGCATGAGGCCTTGTAGAGAGATCTGGGGATGCTATGCGGGGGGCATCCTAAAGGACAGTTGGGGATTGCTGACACAGGACGACACTGGCCGGAGGTGGAGTGAGTCGCACTGCTCTGTAACCCAGCAGTTAGGGGGCGTGAGCCCTGGTTGAGTTTGTCAGAGAATAAGTCAATTTCGGTGAGCTTTGTTAGGATCTGTTGGCAATCCCTTAGATGCTTGAGCTTTTCCGGAAAACTGCTGTGGATTTCAGGAGGTGCTTAGCAACTGTCATTTTAGGCTAGAATTGTTGATATCGCATAGTCTCCTTTACATATTAATCATCATCACCATTATCATCATAATCATCATCATTATCATCATCATCGGAATTACTAGCTCACACTTTTTCACAGAATCACCAGAAGTCCATTATCATTAGCATCACCATCATCATCATATGAGGGACGCTGAGCCCAGTTCTCAGCATGTTCGGTTCGGTTACTCCGGGTAGACTGTGAGGACCCCGACCTCAATCTTCATTTGGAAAAAAAATTTTTTTCAAAAAAAAAAAAAAAAAAAAAAAAAAAAGGGATTCAGGCAGAGGTTAGGCTGGGCGCATTGCCCAGGATCTGATTCGACATTTCTGGGACAGACATTGATTCGACACTTGGCAAGGGACTATTTTTTGGGACTTCGCTATTGCGATCTTGGTCTACTCCCTCGCCTCCTTTCTCCTCGTCTCGTCCCTCCCCCATCTCTTATCCGTGGTATCTCCCCATGTATGTGTGTGAGGAAGGGACCTTTCTTCCATGATTGCAGTCCCTCCTCTCTCTCTCGCCTGTGTGATGTGTGATGGATGTCGGGTAAGTCCAGATGGATCCGGAATGTACATTGCTTGTTTATGCTACGCCGACCTCGCCAGTGAGGAAGCCTTCCACTGGGCCATTTTGTGCCATCTTGTACGTATCCGGAATGTACATTGCTTGTTGATGCTACGCCGACCTCGCATTGTCCATTTCAGTCCTTTACATCACATAGCGGATCCTTGGCTCCCTGCGCATTGTCCCACTGGACATGCGTCAGTTTTGGTATCGGAGCCCCGCACGTGAATCAGGACTTATCAACCTGATCTGACACATGTGCGGGGACTATTGATTGATTAGTCTCTGATTGATTGATTGATCCCTGATCGATTGATTGATTGATCCCTGATTGATTGATTGATTGATTGATCGATCAGTGATTGATTGATTGATTGATTGATTGATTGATTGATTGATTGATTGGATCACACTAATCAGTCCCCAAAATCGCAGATTCTGACCTAACTGCCGAAATCGATTTTTTTTTTCTCTTTTGGATTGCATTTTCCCGGTATTTTTTTTGGAGGAAAATCGCAATAGCAAAGCATTTGAAATTCTCGTTTTTCACCTTTTTTCGGAAATTCGAAATTTCGTTGCTGGAGATCCGGAATACTGTTACGAAAAGTTTCTTTCGATTCATATGTCCTTCTGCAATTTCCCGATATTTCAAAAAAATTCCGCGATTTTTTTTTCAAATTCGTCATTTCAAAGTTTTTTCTCTGAAATCCGAAATTTCGTAATTTTTTAATTTATTTCCGTGACAAAATTCCCGTTATTCCAAAATTCCGATTTTCTTTTCTGAAATTCATCTTTTTTTATTCTTTCGAATTTCTGGAAACCCCCCAGCATTCTTCACGAATCTGGGGACAACGACCATTTCAATATTGGCCGTTAATCTGAGTTTCGGAAATTCTACTTTTTCGGGAAAATCCTCTTGCAGTTATACTCTCACCTAAATAATTCCGAATTTTTTGTTTGTATTTCGGAATTTTCTGGACTTGAGGAAATTCGTTTTTTTTTTTTTCTTACTATTTTCGCAGTTCAGCTACTCCCATCATCTCCAATTGATATTTTGATTCATTTGCAGTCCGAAATTCGGAAATTTTGTTCTTTTTTCGAACTAACTGCTGAGGGGATACTTGGGGGGGCATACTGAACTTGAAAAATTGAAAAAAAAAAAAAATCCACGAAATTTTTTGCAAAAGTTCCAATTTTGTTCTTGACTAGTGGCCCCCTACCTGGGCGACCCATTCAATTGCCCACTCCCCTTCTCCCCACCCCAGCTCTCCATCCCTTCTCCGTCCTTCTTAACTGCCCATTCACCTGCAGTTGCAGACCTCGTCAGGGACCCGCAACGCATGACCATACTTACTCGCTCGCAGACAGCGGCGATGGATCAGAAAGCAGGCGAGTCTGACGAGGCCTACGAGGCACGGTTGGCTGCTATCATAGCCAAAAGCAAGCAACGGGCAGAAGCAGCGGCAGCAGCACGGAAGAAGAGAGAGGCAGAGGCAGAGAGACTGCGTCTTCTGGCCGAAGAACAGCGACAGAAGCACGCGGCAGCAGCAGCCAAGGCCGCTGATGAAGAACGTGTGCGGCGACGCGAGGTTATATTCAGGGAGGAGAATGCATTACATGCACAGGCCAAGGACTGGCAGAGGGAGGCCGAGAACGGAGAATCCGTTGACTACGGGATCAGAGTAGCTCAGCTGCTCAACCGCGTCACAGACCTCCTCGCTACTTGTATCGCGCAGCAGGAGGACATCCACTCTCTCGACCACACCAACAAGGCGTTACAACAGTCGATGGACCAGMTGCTCAAGSGCATACAACAGCTRGAGCAGCAGGTCGCTACTGCCAGCGCYGRCCCCTCSGACCTCACYGATCGCGTCAATGTCTTGGAGATAGACGTGGGAACWCTTAAGACTSGGGCACARCAGCTGSAACAGCAGGTTTYCGCAGCGGCCGGCCCTAGCGCAACRACRMGCGAAACTRTTGCCAAGTTCGATGGGCTCCCGATCTTCTGTGAMGCATCGAAGACCGACCCCWTCCAATGGTGGCGCCAGTTTGAACTCAAGCTGGATAYCCACCACGTCATCGAYGCAAATCGGCATGCATATTTGTACTCCCGCTCGGGAGGCGCGTGTCAGGCATGGTTGGACAACATGCTGTCCGCACATGCATGTACAGTCACCGAGTTACACAAGTACATCACCTGGGCGGATCTCACAGCGGCATGGAAGAAGCGTTTCCAAGTAGAACTGCCCGAGCACCAGGCGATGGACAAGCTGCTGACATTTTTGCAGAACAGCATGCGAAGTGGAGATTGGATATCCGAGTTCCAACGACTTGCAAGCACGCCCAAGTTGCCGATGAATTTCGACGGCATCAAGCTTTACTTCATAAAGAGGTCGTGCCCAGCGTTGCAGAATGCGTTAACTCAAGTCGCCGAGAACCTCAACACAAGTGAGGAACTCTTCAACAAAGCCGCGCAGATCATTGCAACGAATTTGGGAGCCAGGAATACGGGCCACTTGACGACTGTCGGCCAGGGCGTGAATCAGCATCGGCCGAAAGTGGCCGTGGTCCCAGCAGCAACGCGTAGCGACCCTTCAATTATAAACGAGGCTGTTTCGTCTGACGAGGGAAACATACTCGCAGCTTCCCAGAATGGTGGCCGCCCCTCCCAAGGACGAGGACGCGGCAAGACGAAGACGAACACCACTACTTCTTCTGGGTCCGGGCAAGCAGCTCAAGAGCAAGGACCTTGGACAGCGTACGGGCTTACGGAGCGCGAGTACCGTGTCAGCACCAAGTACCGCTATTGTTTGTGGTGCAACAGCTCAGCATATGAGACAGCGGGCTGTCCCACGAAGGCCAAGGGTATCGCCCAGTCGGGAAAGTGAGCACCGTCGAGAGTGACGCGACGACACTCTCGACGCCTACGGAACCAGTTGCCGTACGGGTAACCTCCCTCGGCTCCGAGGCACATGCGGACGTCGTAAGTCCTCCCATTCTTCACTCCTTCGAGAATTATGCTTCCCGGCTCGTACCTTCGTTGAATTCACGAGCCCAAGGACAGGATGTATGTGCAGTTTCTTCTCCGATCGGAAGCAGCGGCATTGACTCGTCTTCAAGTGGACCTTCACGGGATTCGGCGCACGAGTTCAATATAGAGGACTTGGACCCGTTGACGCCCGAGGATTTTGCATGGCTTCCTCTCCCTTCCACCGGTGTCGGGACTGGTGAGTCCCGAATGATTTCCCGTCACTCAAGAGACTGTATTTGACCAATTTGTGCACGACAGAGAAAATCGGAGGCAGGAATGTTGGAAAAACCGAAAGCGTGAGTACGGACAGTAGGAGGTTAGAGGTTGTCCGGAGTCGTCAAGACCGCCAAAGCTAAAGAGGAATTGTCTAAGCAGGAAGCGGCAAAGGAATGTGAGAGAATACCAAGGGCGACTCCTTCCCCAAGCGACGAAGGATGGCCATCGGGAAGTCGGTAGCAGCATGAGAAGTGCGCAGCAAGTGAAGGAAGAAAGTGGGAAGGGACAGGGTGCAAGGCGCTGACGCGATGCGGCGGCAGGTAGGCCGAGGAGATCGCAGGTTAGGGGGAACCAGTGCCCGGAGCGGAACGGCGTGTGGGACACAAAGGGAACGGGGGTGGCGAAGACCGCCGCAAGGCGGAAGGACATCAGGAGCACCAAGGGAAGACGTGGTACAGGAGGGGCAAGAGTGCTGGGGACCGCATGGGATCGGAAGACGGGGCGGTACCGACAGGACAAAGAGCCAAGGACCACGCGGGACCAGGGGACGGCGTGGTGCCGGCAGGGCGAAGTACCGGGAACCGCGTGAGACCAAGGGAAAAGACGTAATGCAGGCGGGCCGAAGTACCAGGGACCGCGTGGGCCTAGATAAAATGGCGGCACCCGCGGAACCACTAGCAGGACGAGTATCGACGGGATAAAGTGTCAAGAGCCGCTGACGGGGGCTGAAGACCGGAGCCATCGGCGGAACAAAGGGCGACCGACCAAAGAGGCGTACAGGAGGACGGGATGTCACTCGGGACGATGCCGAAAAAAGGGGAGAGACTAGGGATAATAAGAAAAAGAGGAGAAGTCGGGTGCTGACGAAAATTGACGACAGAACGAGGAGAGACGGGCGTGAGACGGGAAAGACGGAGGACACCTGGAGCGACCCAGGGGGGATCCGGGATCAGACGCAACGACAACAAAAATAAAATAACCTGACAACAGGTGGACGGGACCATCCGGGCTAGGGAGTCCGGATGAAAACACTAAGTACCGCCGCGACAAGCGCCGGCGGGAGGTGCCGAGGGGAAGAAAAGAGGGAATAGCGGCAGTAAGAGGGGCCGGCCAGCAGTCCGAGTATCCTGGATCAGCCAGGCAAGAAAAACAAAGTTCCAAGGACTCCGCGTGAAAAAAAAAAAAAAAAAGCTGGCGGGAGAAAATCGGAGCAAGGGGGTTTCAAAACTGGAAACATCGGTAGCAAAAAGGAGCCCCCTTCGGCCTTGGGGGTGCCGCTACTGCAGTCCGAGGTGCAACGGCCATATGCCGGCTGCAAATCAGGCCTTGGGAAAGGTCCAACAACTAGAAAAAGGAGAAATAGTTGTTCGACACTTGTCCCAACAGTAAATGAGAAAAGAAAGGAGAAAAAGGGGGGAGAATGAGACAAAGGAGGAGGACGGAGTGGAGGAAAAAGTGCCGTCAGGTTGGGACTTCAGCAGTAGGGACTGGCAGGTCTCAATGATGACCTCATCCCTCCTAGATCCTAGGAGGGCAGTCCGGATTGCAGAGATAATGTCCTTGGGGCATTATCTCTGCAATATCTGAATTTAAGCAACAAAAATAAAGAAAAATGCTGATGTGAGTTGGCCGGCTCATTTTTGGGCCTTAGATCTGAGATCTGATCTTGCGGAGGAGGAGATCTAGCCGTTTTTTGGGGGCTGACACAAAACGGCTAGCTCCTGAAATGAGTAGGTAGCAAAATGGAGGGAAAACCAAGAGAGGAACAAAACAAAACTGCGAATTTGGCCCAAGGTTTGAGCCAGGTACATCAAAAAAAAATAAAAATTGGAGCAAAAGACTCAAGTTTGGAGCAAGGGGGGGCTTGGAGTAACTTGGAATGATGAGGACCATAGATCTCAGCCAAATCCAAGGCTGAGATCTGTGCCGCCACTTGAAAAAATACAACAGCCTACCCAAAGGAGGCCTAGACAAAAAAAAAGGCGAAAAATGGGCCTTGAGGCCCTCGATCTTCAGTAAAGGCTGCATTTTGGGAAAGGCTACCCCAAAAGGCAACACTTTTAGAGGTAAAAAGAGGTCGGGGTACGCCAAGGGGTAGTCCGAGAAGGTGCCAGCCTCTCGGACTGCATGTACCTTGCCAAAATGAGGCCCAGGTACCCCCGGATAGGTCAAAACCGAAAATCTGGCCTTTGGGGTACCACGCTCCACCTAGAGGCACTTGGAGGGGCCTAGAGGTTGGCTGGTGCACCTGTTCCAGCCTATATAAGCTGGAGGTGTAGGCCGCAACTCTCATTTGAGCATGTGAGGTGCCCATGCTGCCCAAATGAGTCCATGAGTGAGTACTAGTGAGATAGAGCAAGGAAGCGAGAGCCGGAGCTAGCCCGTAGCCTGGCTATGGTGATAAGGCTGAGAAAGGTGACCTAGAGGCTAGGAGGGAGCAAGGAGAGTGGTCTGCCATAGCCCTCAGGCTGTGAAGTAGGAGGAGAGGCTGAAAGGGGTCCCCATAGCCCTTCTAGAGAGAAGGACTCCACATTCTTAGAAGTAGGAACCTGCCATAGCTAAAGGAGAGGTGTGAGGGAAGGAGGAGAGAGCTTGGGAGAAAGGAAAAGCCATACTCAGGAGGCTAGGACCAAGCATTGGGACTCCACTGCCTAGAAACCAGCGAGAGGTGAGTGAAAAAGGGAGGGAAACCTCCTTCTTCTTCTTCTTCTTCCTCTTCTTCTTCTTCTTCTTCTTCTTCTTCCTCTTCTTCTTCTTCTTCTTCTTCCTCTTCTCCTTCTTCTCTCCTCCTTCTTTCTTCCTCTTCTTCTTCTTCTTCTTCTTCTTCTTCTTCCTCTTCTTCTTCCCTTTCTTTTCTTTCTCCGTCTCCTCCTTCTCCCCCTCCTGTTCTTGTCAAAACTTGAGTTTTCACTGATTTTGGTGCTTGGGTAAGTTGCGATTCACCTTGTGATAGTTCAGTGATGTTTCCCCTTCATACATTGCTTCAAATCTTGAGTTTTCACTGATTTGGGTACTTGGATAAGTTGTGATTCACCTTATGATAATTCGGTGATGTTTCCCCTTCATAGATTGCTTCAAATCTTGAGTTTTCACTGATTAGGGTGCGTCAGTAGGTTGCGATTCACCTTTTGATAGTTCAGTGATGTTTCCCCTTCAGAGATTGCTTCAAATCTTGAGTTTTCACTGATTTGGGTGTTTGCGTAAGATGCGATTCACCTTGTGATAGTTCGGTGATGTTTCCCCTTCATAGATTTGCTTCAAATCTTGAGTTTTCACTGATTTGGGTGCTTGGGTAAGTTGCGATTCACCTTGCGATAGTTCGATGATGTTTCCCCTTCATAGATTGCTTCAAATCTTGAGTTTTCACTGATTTTCGTGCTTGCGTAAGTTGCGATTCACCTTGTGATAGTTCGGTGATGTTTCCTCTTCATAGATTGCTTCAAATCTTGAGTTTTCACTGATTTTGGTGCTTGGGTAAGTTGTGATTCACCTTGTGATAGTTCGGTGATGTTTTCCCTTCATAGATTGCTTCAAATCTTGAGTTTTCACTGATTTGGGTGCTTGGATGAATTGCGATTCACCTTGTGATAGCTCGGTGATGTTTCCCCTTCATAAATTGCTTCAAATCTTGAGTTTTCAGTGATTTTGGTGCTTGGGTAAGTTGCGATTCACCTTGTGATAGTTCGGTGATGTTTCCCCTTCATAGAATGCTTCAAATCTTGAGTTTTCACTGATTTGGGTGCTTGGGTAAGTTGCGATTCACCTTGGGATACTTCGGTGATGTTTCCTCTTCATAAGATGCTTCAAATCTTACCTTTATGTTGTCCTTGATGAGTGTGTGTGCGGCGCATACTTCGGTGATGTTTGCTCTTCATGAGATGCTTCAAATCTTGCCTTTATGCTGTCCTTGATGAGTGTGTGTGTGGCGCTTCACTTCGGGATACTTCGCTGATGTTTCCTTTTCATGAGATGCTTCAAATCTGACCTTTATGCTTGTCCTTGATGAAATACTTCGGTGATGTTTCCTCTTCATAAGATGCTCTAAATCTTACCTTTATGCTATCGTTGATGAGTGTGTGTGTGGCGCTTCACTTCGAGATACTTCGATGATGTTTCCTCTTCATGACATGCTTCAAATCTGGCCTTTATGCTGTCCTTGATGAGTGTGTGTGTGGCGCTTCACTTCGGGATACTGTGGTGATGTTTCCTCTTCATAAGATGCTTCAAATCTTACCTTTATGTTGTCCTTGATGAGTGTGTGTGTGGCGCTTCACTTCGGGATACTTCGGTGATGTTTCCTCTTCATGAGATGCTTTAAATCTTGCCTTTATGCTGTCCTTGATGAGTATGTGTGTGGCGCTTCACTTCGGGATACTTTGGTGATGTTTCCTCTTCATGAGATGCTTCAAATCTGGCCTTTATGCTGTCCTTGATGAGTGTGTGTGTGGCGCTTCACTTCGGGATACTTCGGTGATGTTTCCTCTTCATAACATGCTT